AATTTATAAATCGTGCATTTTAATTTTGAACCTCAGTCCACAGTTCTCCAGCAGCATACACAGAGACAGCAGTGAAAGTATCCTCCGGAACCTATAGGTGTAGGACGTGAGCGGCTCGCGGAGTATTTATTTATTTATTTATTTAGGTACACAAAACAGAATAACATCAAAACATAAACAATTGAACATAATAACTGCAAAATAACAATCTGGATGGTATTCCAAAACATGTGCACACAACATGATATTAGGTTACAGTAACGAGCTTACAGCGCAAATACTTATAATCTTACTTATAAACTTAAGTTGTGGAAAATTTAGAAAAATTAATTCTTTATTAAAAATATTGCCTTATTTACAAAGTATATCTAATACAGATTTTTTGAAATTGTTTACTTTGCCATTAAATATGTCGATATTTTTACTATTATTAATCAATAAGTCATTGTAGAGGCGACACATTCTTACTAGAGGATTATAATAGGACGTATTATTTCTGTAAACTTGCAAAACAAAAGTGTTTAGGAAAGTATAGCGACGATGGGGCTTAGTATTAATCTTGACAAATGAAAGGAGGGTGGGGAAATCAATAAGGGAATGAATAATTTTGAAAAGGTAAGTCATATCCTGATATTTACACCGAGTTTGTAGTGACATAATGTTAGACTTCTTAAGTTTGTCTTCATACGAGGGCAGACTTCTATTTAAACCATACCTATAGCACAAGATTGATAGAAATGTTTTTTGAATACGTTCGATACGATCTATGTGGACAGCGTAGTATGGAAACCAAATAATTATGTTGTACTCTAAAATACTGCGTATTAGAGAACAGTACAAAATGAGAAAGCTTCGTGGATTTTTAAAAGTCTTGGCAGTTCTGAATATAAAACCAAGAAGTTTTGTACTTTTAGATACCACATGATCGTAGTGATGGCGGAACGTAAGCTTTTCATCAAACAGTATTCCAAGATCCTTAACTACGGATTTTCTATCAAGTACCTGTCCATTTATTTTGTAATCAAAAGTAAGCCTGTGTTTCTTATTGCTAAATGATATGACAAAGCATTTTCTTGTATTTAGATGCATGTAGTTTTCTTTACACCAATTATGAATGGAGTCTAAATTCGACTGAAGATTGGACGAATCGCTGGGTGTATCGATAACACAAAAGAGCTTCAAATCATCTGCATACAACAGGCATGGACATGTTAATTTATCAATAAGATCGTTGATAAATGTTATAAAAAATAAAGGACCTAAATGGGACCCTTGTGGCACACCCGATGTCACAGGGGCGGGTGAGGATTTGAAACCTTTTATAGTAACTAACTGACTCCTCCTGTTGAGGTATGATTCAGTCCATCTCAACAGATTCCCATGTATTCCGTAACATGCAAATTTGATACATAAAATATTATGATTTACTTTATCAAATGCTTTCGAGAAATCGGTATAAATACTATCAACCTGTTTTCTCTTGGCGAAGGCACTACAAAGATAGTGTTTGTATTCAAGTAAATTAGAAATTGTCGATCTGTTCTTAATAAAGCCATGTTGTCTGAGCGACAGGAAGGGTTGAATATGGTGGTAAAGAGAATAATACACCAATGATTCAAACAATTTACCGAGGCAAGACAAGATGCTAATGGGTCGATAATTTTCGCAATTAGACCTGTCGCCGGATTTATAAATCGGAACGATATGAGCTATTTTCCATACTGAAGGAAAAACACCTGTCTTAATGGATGCATTGAAAAGAATACATAAGGGATTACTTAATTCCTTACCGCATTTCTTAATCAATAAAGGAGGAAGATCATCCGGTCCAGGGCCTTTTCTTTGGTCTAGTTTCGAAATCTTTTGCTGTATTTCTTCTTGTGTGAATACGATATCACTTAAGATACAATTACTACGATTGGATGATTCATTATGAGAATATAAACTAGGTTCCACTGGATTTACAAAGACGGAACTGAAATAATTAGAGAAAAGCTCACATATTTCTTTTTCATCGGAACAGATGTGATTACCATATTTCATCGTTTTGGGAATGCTATGAGAATTATTTTTCTTATCGTTAACAAAACGCCAAAAGAATTTTATGTCATCATCTAAAGAAGATTCGACAGACGAAACAAAATTTTTATAGTCATTACTAATAAGTTTTTTACATCTGTTGCGTAACATGGAAAATGTATCATAATCCCGAGGATTCTTATATTTTTTGAAACGACGACGAGTATCTTCGACAACATTTACTCCGGAGAGTTACGCCCGTCCGGCACAGTTTATTTATTTTTAATCTAATTAATATAAAATATAAGAAGTAGTACAGAAGAAAGCACTAACCGTTACATTTTTCGAACAAATTAACTTTCCCGATATTTCATTTCATTACAGGCCCTCACAAGTCCATTGTTGAACATAGGCCTCCCCCAAGGAATGCTACAAAGCACGGTCACGAGCCACCTGCATCCTTTGACTAGATGCAGTGCCCACCTGGTAAGACAAGCAGGAAGTGGGGGGACGCCTTACACTTCGCCTGCCGGTACGAGGGTGCTACTCGAGAACCTTTCTTCCCCCATCGGTTGTCGGTTCTTCGAGCTATATGGCCGGCACATTGCCTCTTCAGGTTACTAATTCGTTGGGCTATGTCGCTTACTCTGGTTTTACTGCGGATATCCTCGTTTTTAAGTCTTCTTGCCCGCAATGAAATCTGTCAAATATTAGACCTCATTTTTAAATGGCGCCGCCCTGGTGGCAAAAAACGTGGATGCCCTCATTTATACAACAATACTTGTGCTGTTTTGTGTGGTGAGTGACAAGAATCGGAGACTTATTTTATCTAGCGTGAGATTCGCGTGGAATACGACGACCATGCCCCCTCGTCGCACCTCCCCGCGTACGTACTTGTTTGCACTGCGAGCAATGAAGATTGTTCGTTAGTCTGGTTAGACTAGGGGTGACGTTAGACCATTACGGGGAGGACACGGTGCAACACAAGCTCGCCGAGTGTGTAGCTTGGGAGGAGCAACGCCGTGTCCTCACAAATGAAGTAGAAGGCGATCTGTCGCTGCCGGCCTTACAGAGAAGCCACACGGTGCGGTGCGGTCGCGGCGCGGCGCCGGAGCGATGTCGCTGCGGCGTCCTGCATATAAAAATCAACGATATGCCAGACGGTGCATTCCTGCGCCACACCGCGCTTCGATTGAGCTAGACGCGGGGGGGGGGGGGGGGAGGAAGTGCTGCTCCGGCGTCGCGACTTCGCTCGCAGTCGTGTTGAAACTAGTTGTCAGTAGGACGTGTTTATTTTAATAGGGATTTGTAAAATGAGTACCCAGGATGATAATATTGATATTGACTTCCTCATCTCATTAGTTCAGGAAAGAGAAATTTTATGGGACAAGTCTAATGTGGACTTCAAAAATAATAATTTGAAAACAAAAGCTTGGGAAAAATAGCAAGAACATTGTTTCCGGATTATGACACATTTGACAATGACAAAAAAAAACAAATTGGGTAAGTTTTAGTTTTTATTATTGTTGCCGCTCTTATGAGCTCGCGCGTATAGTACTGACGCACACAAATACTACGAAGATGGTGGCCATAAATTTTATGAATTCACAGGATTTGCTATGTCTCATATAATAATTTTTTTGTATGAACATTATATAATTTGAATGTAATTAACAAACGTATACATTTATCCAAACGTAAATATTAATTTTCTCGGGTATATTAAAAAATCACGGTGTATTAATCCACAAATAAAAAATCATAGTGTAGGTAAGTTAAGTTACATTAATTAAATCATACGTAGCTGCCACGGCAAAGTTCCACTATTACTAATAAAACAACTCGCGAAATGATTGATATAATATTGCTAGCACTCTACTCTGCATCATTTTGGGTTTGTAATGGGTAAAAGTCATCGTCAATGCTAATTGTTAGTTTCTCCTTCTGACGAATGCCATCTCGTTCCACAACAAAATTATATAGGACACAGCATGCTTTTACGATATCAGTAGCAAAATCGTAGGATACATTTATCGGCCTGTGAAATATGCGCCACTTATTTGCCATGATTCCAAAAGCGCATTCTACGTATCTTCTAGCTCTACTGAGGCGATAATTGTAAACCTTTTGCTGTGTACTAAGATTACGACCACCATACGGACGCATAACGTGTTTATTCAGCCCAAACGCTTCGTCGCCCACAAATACGTAGGGTATCGGTATATCGTAAGCAGGGAGAGGTTGAGAATCCGGTAACAGTAGGCGATTCCTAATTAGTAACTCATTTAGGTTTGAATTTTGAAATATAGACGAATCACATTCTTTACCGTATGCGCCGATATCAACAAAAATAAATTTGTAGCTTGAGTCTACCACGGCTAGCAATACGAATAAAAAACAGCGAACCACTGTGTCTAGGATTTTACAAACGAATATGCTTTCCGTCGATAGCACCGATGCAGTGGGGAAAATTTGCTCTGATGTCAAATTCCGAAGCTATGTTTAAGAGTTTTTCGCTTGTAAGTTGAGGAATATTGTCTTGACGAAGATATAGCACAACAAACTTTTTTTATCGTAACTGCAATTGTAGATCTCCCTCTTTTGAATATGAAATGTAAATCTTGTATTGAATTTCCAATTGCTAGGTATCTGTAAAAATATAATATTATGTATCAATTTTATTAAATAGGTTATCAATATTATTTTTCAGGAAATATGATAGTGAAAAAATGGAGGAATGTAAAGGATAACTTCAACAAATATCTTAAAAAACTAAAAGAATCGTCTAAGTCCGGCTCAGCAGCTATTGCGTTGAAAAAAATATCATTATTACCATCAACTTCTTTTTCTGATGAAAGTGCAACAAAATGCAACCGATAGCAGCTTGGACTTAGACAGAAGTGCTCTGAACAACACTCGAGTCTGTAAATAACCCTGTTCCACATTCTTCACGCTATGTTCCTGCTAATCGCAAGAGAATCATGCCAATGGACGATTTCGAAAAAGAGGCGTTAAAAGCTCTCGAAGAGCCTGAAAATCGCCACATGTTGTTCTTCAAAAGTATTCTGCCATCAATACAACAATTCACGGACTTACAAACTATCACATTTCAAAGTAGAGTTTTGCAAATGATATCTGAAATGCGATATGGAGAAACAATTCAACCATGGCATAGACAAACTCCTCAACCATATGGATCTGACCAAGGATATGGGCACACATCTCAATATGAATATAATTCAGCTGGCTATACTAGCATTGGCTCAAATTCATACACATCTCCATCTCAAGCATCTCAGGCCTCTCAAGAAAGTGGGGATCAAGAGGAGTTTGATTTTACAAATATTTAAATTTTTTAGCAGTAACAAAAATAAAAATAAATGTTAATTATTTTTTTCATTACTCACCTCAAAGTAATACCTAGCATTTCTCTTGGCTCCACTGGATTTCTCATATTAGTATATTGCTTCCGTAAATGTGGTTCCAAGGTGTTTAATAAACTGTTGAAAGAGGACACACTCATTCGAAAGAAGTTATCTCCGTCACTGTTTCTTAACGCGATTATTGGACTGACCCAATATCGTCTGATTCTACGTTTTCGGCGGTGGCGTAGTAGTAGAAGCAACAAAACACGTCTATTCCGATTCCCCGTCCTCCCTATTCGATGGACCCGAGGCGAGGGGCGCGCGCGGGTGTCGGCGCGTGCCCTGAAGCAATACACGGGGTAGTTGAACACCTCACTACCCCGTGCAGGAGACGAGGCCCGGACAGACCGGGCCAGCACTAGTGTGGGGCTGCGGAATAATTTGGATACCCGCGAACCCGCGCGCACGTGCGAGGAGACACCTGGGTGGCTTTTCCGCCTTTCCCCAGGCGGAGGTAGTCCATGAGGATTTCCCCCCGTAAAAAAAAAGGTGAGGTTAGACGGATAGTGGTTTTATACGTGATAGAGCAATGCTGCAGCTATATTATTAGTATAGTTGTAGCACGAATGGGTCGGCTCGACAGGGGAAGGACAACGCTCTCACAGAATACCAGCGTAAAATAGCAGCTTTACGCTGCTGTGTTCCGTATGGTGGGCGTAGAGAACCGGAGACCCTTTTTACTGGAAAAGAGGCATTCCATCTTAGTCCTCACGGGCGACAATGCATCTGCATTTTGATTCGCAAACGAGGATACCTAGATGTAGATGTCTATGGGCCATAGCAACCACTTACCATCAGGTGGACTGTGTGCTCGTTTGTCACCCTATTCTATAAAAAAAAGATTAGCTCACGACGCGCTCCGCATTTCGCATTTGAAACTTTTGTACACTGTACAAGTACGCCCCTATGACGTCATTCGACTCGCATGTTATTATGCACGAGTAGTACGTACCGGTATAGCTTATCAAAGTCCACTGCTGAACATAGTGATGCCGCATAGGTTGTCTCAAAAGGGAATTTTTGCCATAGTTGGCACGCTTGGCAGGCGGGTTAGTTTTTAGGAAGATGCTGCTGCCCATCTCTTGATCTTCCGTCTGTCGTCTCTTACAACTTACAAAACCCACGGGCCGGTATAGCACAATTAATATTCTTAAAACTCCATTCGACGGTCAGTAGTCATCACTAGTCGGTCGGTACGTACGTACAAAAAAAATACAATATCCTATAAAGTCGAATACCTATTTTTTACACTGCTGCTAGATAAATGTTTACCATGGCGGAATCATAAACAAGAGAAAGACAAAACAACGACATTCCTTTGATAAAGATAGGACAAAAATAAAACAATGCAATCAGTTATATTTTATAATAAGGAACAATATCAATAATAATTAGATTATATAATATATTTAGCCCTGTCATAAAAAAACCAAAATTGTATTTTCCGATGATTTAATTGTAGCTTCTGCGAAGTTCATCATACTTAAAAGACCATATTCACCAGATTTGGCTCCCCACTAAATTTCTTTTGTTACAGAAAAATGATATCGCCACCGTTTTAAGCCGATCGGATCTATAAAACAAAATTCTTTAGCGCCTACAAAGACAAAAAAGAAATGATCTATTATTTATTTTAGCTACTTAAGAAAAGCATTAATATTTTTAATTCGGTAGTAGACAATATAACATTTATAAATTATTAATTTATTATATCTTTAAACCTGCCTAGTATTCAGTGAATTATGAATTAATATTAAGTATTAATGAATATACAAACAAAATGTTTATTTGATTATAAGGAACTGTGATGTCATTTATTGCTATTCCCTTATTTCTATGGATAAATATTTTACAGCTTTTAAAAACTCAGAAACAAGAATCGAAAGAAGAGAAACTTACTACTTTATGTTATCATAAGCCTGAGAAAATGCAGGTTTTTTTTAATCAAAAACCTAGACTGATTTAATTTTATGATAAAATCAACCTAACCTAACTTAAGCTTAAATTTTATCATAAATCTGAACAAGTTCAGGTTTTTGATCAAAAACACCTAAATTTACCATAAACCTGCGACATATACAAATAATTAGTTATACACACAGGATACAACTAAATATATTAAAATATTACAACAATAATTTAAAAAAATGTTATGTTAATAACCCTTTTTGGTTTTAAAGATTTTATGTGAATAGTTACTTTTTTTAAATACTAAGGAATGTTTTAAGTCTATAATACAACAGTAAGGCCACGTACACACGGCTATACTTTTCGCGTATACCGTACATTAGAAAAATTGCATCTCGAACACGACATTTTCTCGTATGGACTCCATGTGAACAGTTTGACATATTGTCTACTGCCACTACTATGTTCGATAAAATCTAGTGTACGGTATACGGGAAAAGTATAGCCGTGTGAACGTGGCCTATATCACTAATGTCCGTCGGCCTCGACACTACCCTGAGGAAACCAAAGTACAAAATCTTGAAGTAGCTGCATTCCCCTCACAAACTGGTGTGCGATATGTGGCCTTTTACACGTGCTGGTTGTGCTATTGATTAATTAATGGATTTTTTATTTTCATTATTTTTATAGAAAGATATATTACAACAGTCTTACGCTAGACAACAATCGTGAATGATTCGTTTATTTTACCTGGGTCACATCAAAGTATTGATGATTACAATTACATTTTTTGAACGTATCGGATCAAACAATTGACAGAATCAACGACCAAAGAGTATAGTAATGTCCGATGACCGACATCATAGAGCGGGTCTCACAGACCACAGAGTACTGAAACTCGAAATGATCCGTTTGAATGATTGGCCCGAGAAACCCGGTTCGTAACACTAATCAATACTTGAATGATCGGGTCACTAGAAATAAATGAATGACACATGTATATCTCAGGCCAACAAAGAAAGACGGACCGGCGTACTTGGGGAAAACCGGCAGTGTTTCGTCTCACAACTCATATTTCATTTGTTTCAAAATGAATGAAGCTGTAATTTAACATATTGGTTTGGATATTATATAGGGTCTTTATTGAATTAAAAATATTTTTTTTAACTCAAAATAAAAGTTTGACCACAATAGATATCAAATTCAAGACATAATTTTTTTTTTTGACCGCAGGTAAATTAGGTGTTGAGAACTGTTTGACATATCTCATTTCAATAAATTTATAAATACACCGTCGTCCATGCTATTTTATAAAGAAATAAAAGTTTTTGAGAAAATTGATTTTTATCTCGCGATGTGTTTTGGGTCCGTATCAAAAAGGTGCCAGTAAATGTAATGTTTTGTTATCTCTAAACAGAGTAATGTGTGAAGATCTTAATGCAATAAATACTTCGACATCAGCAAGCATCGGTAAGAGGTAAATCTCTTGTTAAAAAAAATTGTAAAAACGTACTATCTTAAACTATATTGGCTATTTTTGTTTAATTAACTAATATAATATAATATTATTTTAAAAAAATGGGGAAGCATATAAGCATTCCAAAAGTGTATAATACTTTTATACTTATATGGAATACTTTCAAATAATGTGGCATTGAATCGTATTAACGTATTTCGTAAAAATCATCTAATCGAACATGATGAATAAGATTTAATGCTCTTCTATACTTATGTTAAACATACAAAATAAAAATACCTAAACAGAAATTTTATTTATAATAGTATATAGTATATTAGTATATTAATTTATAATTTTCATTACATAACAACGACTTTCGTTAAAAACAGTTATGAGACGGCTTTGTATGAGGCTTTCCCATAGTGCGGCGCTGCGTTCGTTTCAAGTGACACACAAACCATGCTCAAGTTATTGTAAGAACACGCACTCACACATCATATGCATCTAAAATAATTTCAAACCAACAACATGGTTTTGGGTGCATATGTGTGCGTTTTGCAGTGCACATTTACTGGTTGTCAAATGAAGAAAAAAGAAAAATGAGACCTACGTGCGTGTCAAGAAGTTGAACATGGTTTTTGCGTCGCTAAAAATTCACGCAGCACTCCGTCTATTTTTGTGGAAGAAAGATGGAAATCTTTTTTCATCACATAGGCGTTCCCCATAGATTGCCTCATAGGTAGGATTTTGCCATAGTTACCACGCTTGTCAGGCGGGCTGACTCACGCATTTTATATTTTAAATTGTTACCAGGAAAATGCTGCTGTCCATCTCCTGTTTGCTTTCTCTTTGTCGCTTGTTACGATACCCACGGGACGATATGGGGTAGTGGATACGTATTCATACACCGTCACTAACCAGTATGCGTATGATACCGCCACTTCATAGTATCTTTGTTCAAGTCAGAAACTAATACATGTTTTTTTTTGAAAATCTTTGAAACGGTTCGAACGATCAACTTGAAAATGTAATCAGCTTGAAGTCATATGCACACGCACGCACGCACACACACACCCATACACCCACAAACCCACATACCACACTAAGTTATAGCTTCAGTCTACTTTCGTTAGACAAAAACTTATGAATAAGGTAACACTGTTGGAAATATCCTTATATTTATCACAATGTAGCGCTAAAGTTAAAAATAAAAAGATTAATAACAAAAAAGAAATACTAGTTATGTTTTTATATACAATTTTTTACCGTCGACCACATTCTTTAATTTAGTATTATATCTGCGATATAAAGAGTGACAAAGCATTATGTTGCAGAAGTGAACGGCAAAGAGCGCCCTAGACGAAAGTGTATCGACAAAATTGGCGATATATTGAAAGTGGGCCAGATTAAGAGTACCCTTAACCGACGAGCATGTATGCGTAGGTATATAGATGTAAAGGAGGCGAGACAAGTATGTCAAGATCAAGCCAAATGGAAGTCCGTAGTCTCTGTCTACCCCTCTGGGTGACAGGCGTGAGGGTTTATGTTATGTTATGTTACTATATCTGCCAGCTGTAAACAATAGAAGTCCAAATGTTAACATTTCTTTACGAGTGAGGTTTAGTATAGAGTCACATTCAACTATTTTTAATGACAGACCAAAGTAGCACCAAGAGACATTTTTAAATTTTTCATTTTCTAAGTCAAGTAATTTAAAAGTAATATATATATATATATATATATATATATATATATATATATATATATATTACCATAAAGACGAATTGAAACATTTTCACAAGTTCAACTTTAGTTATTGCTACCGTCTGTACACTTTTGAATGACACGTGTTGCCAGTTGAAAGACGTATTTTTCGCTGTCGATCGGTTGACGGAACAGCTGTGCGTGTTGCCAGGCCACGTCCCCAATCCCACCGGATAGACGACAAGCCAGCACCACTTGCTTGAACTCCCGTTTGAAATGCCACGTCTCACCTGTCGAATGACAACACTGACTAGATTATTATGGTCGGTCGTCACAAATGACGGTTGAAGAGCGAAGTTGCCAGTAAACACGAATCAATTTTACCGTGAGTACTAAGTATGTAAAGAAGAATATAAAAATATTACCAAGTTTCATTTGCTGCGGGATCTCTTCATCGAACCGAACCGTACACTCTATGTTCCCTGTTTCGTATAGCGCTGTTGTCATTTGTATGGCAAGTTGTTCAAAGATTAAGCTGTCGTCTTTCACCGCCATTTTCCATGATATTGACCCAATTGTTTCGTCCACTATAAAAAATATTTAAACATTGTTTTTAAATTAAATAATTTTAGTTTGTATTACAATATTTAAAGATATAAACTAAATTAGTTATTCAACATTGTATGAAATTCTAAAGTGGTGTTCCGGTGTGAAACAGCAACATAATGTCCTCCAGACCGAATTTCGGTCACGACGCCTAGTCTCAACGGAGACTAGCGCTCTGCGCAGGGCAGGATTATAGTGCCCGAGAGTATGCGCAAGCACGGGTGCACTATCTATTCCCTCACTCTCATAGTCCGATGGTACAGTAATTGGACACGACAGGAGACATAAGGGCTAATCAGGTGCAGAACCAACGGCTTTAAGTGCTTTCCGAGGCACAAGGATAAAACACTGCCAACTTTCTGACTCCGCGCTGCTATTGAGAATTACGAGGGCAGCACTGAAAATTTCGGGAATCAAGGAAGTGACACAACATTACTATTTAAAAATGTATTTATTGCTTTTCGAAGTATTCTCCGCGAAATTTGACACATTTTTCCATACGATGGAACCAATCATTGAAGCAACCATTCCATTCGGAAGTTGGGGTCTCCAAAATGGCCGTTTTGTAGGCGTCCACAGTTTCTTCAAGTGATGAAAATCTCCGTCCACGCAATTTATTCTTTATTTTAGGGAAAGTATAGAAATCATTAAGGCTTAGATCGGGGCTGTACGGCAGATGGTCTAATAATTCTATGTTTTCTTGTTCTAAAAACTCTTTTGTTCTGTGTGCGGTGTGAGAACTCGCATTGTCGTGATGGAGGATGATGCGGCGGTTGCAGTTCTCTTTACGGAGTTCAGAAACGATCTGTGGCAAACCAATGCTAGCATACCATTCTGCATTAACCGTTCTTTGTCCCTCAAGAGGAATAATCGTAACATGGCCGGTTTTGGAGACAAACATGGCCACCATTTTTTTTTGCAACACTCCGTGAACGAACTATTTTTGTTGGCCTTAACTTATTTTCGAACACCCAAACTCGTGACTGGTTTTTTGTTTCGGGTTCGTACGCGTATATTATGGATTCGTCACCTGATACGATGTTGTATACATCATTTGAGGATCCTGCGTGGAATCTTTCGAGAGTTCTGACGCACCAAGTAACGCGAGCCGCTTTTTGCTCTTCACAGAGCGAATGCGGTATTCATCGGGAAAACAACTTTTTTACACCTAATTGTTCATGCAAGATTATTTGTATTTGACTCATGCCAATGTCTAAAGTTGCCTGAATTTCGCGGTATGTCACATGTCGATCTTCCTCAATCAGCTTACGCACAGCATCAACGTTTTCTTGGGTGACTGCAGTTTTTGGACGACCTTGACGGGGATCATCACTGAGCTTGACACGTCCACGTTGAAATTCAGCAAACCAGCGATAAATTGTGGTTTTGGATGTGGCTTCATCACCAAATGCAGAAATCATCCGGTCAACACACTGTTTTTGTGTTAAACCACTTCGAAAGTGATAATAAATCATCGCTCTTGAATTTTCTCGAGTCAATTCCATTTTCTCAACGACTAAACAAGTTTGATAAAACCTTGTGGCAAGATCGAGAATCTTTTTTTAAAAAAATAAATGGTATTCGATTTTTAAAACCAAGGAATTTTCAATTAAAAATATTTTAATACTTGAATGAAAAACCCAATAATTGATTTTGACCTGACCCTCGAACAAGGGATCTCATGACCACCAATCGCTAGCGACATTCCGGTACTAGTAAATACGAGTAAGCACTCGATACTTTTGATTCGATACCAAGTACTAATAGCATCGAATCAATCTTGCAATACTTACTCGGTATCGAAACAAAAGTACTTGGTATCGAATCTTACCCTAAAATTGTCACTGGTCGTCAGCACTAGCAGTGTTCAGCATTTCACAAGTGATTGTTTACGATTACGTTACGAGTAATTTAAGTAATTGTAGTCATCGGTTTATTGTTCCAATGTTATCATGGCACCGCCAAAATCATTAATATGGACATATTTTACCAAAACAAACGAAACAACTGCAAAATGTAAACAATGTTTTAAGTCGGTGAAATATTGTGGCAATACGTCTAATTTATTCAAGCATTCCAAAACTCATGGAATTACTGTGGATAAAGGCAAACTACAGAAAAAAGCAGATAAAGGGACAAACGAAAGGTAGGATCTTTAACTTTTCACTAATTAATTTCGTTAGGTTAGGTACTTAGGTTAGGTTCATAATAGTTCGTTAGTTCATTGCTTGGAACTATGCGATGTATCTAAAGTGGCAGGACAGAATAGATCGTTGTGGGGCTTGAAACATTTGCTACGTTAATTTCATTAAAAAAAATCTAAAAGTATCGATATCAGTAAGTATCGATACATTAGGAGTATTTGTATGAGTATTTGAAAAATGATTTGAGTACTACTGATATGAGTAGGTATCGATACTTTGATAGTATCGGAACATCCCTACCAATCGTGGTTACGACGAGACTAACGAGACAACCGAGGAAATAGCAGCATAATGCTGTTGTGTTTCGTATGGTTAGTAACGAAAACCTTGGGAACAAGGCATTCCATCTTAGTCCTCAGTGGTGGCAAAACATCTACATTTTAATTCCAAATCGAGAATAAATGTAGGTGTATATAGGTTACAGCATCCACTTAACCAAGTGGGCTGAATGCTCGTTTGTCACCCACACTTCTTTACAAATCGTTTAAATAATCAAACCAACAACATTAAAAACGCTTATATTAACTTTAAACTCACCTTCTCTAGCCAAGTACACCTGACGCCAGTCCATCTCCACTTTACGAAAAATGCTTTCGCAGGAATAGGCACCATTTTCGAATGAATTTATCGATTCTATATCCGACCCGTCACGGCTAATCTGGTATTTATTCAAGCTGGCGTAGTATTTCACCGTGTAATCTCCCGGTTGTGCAAATTCGAAAACGTAACTTGTATTCTCTTTGCCGATCTCGCCGCGTTGCCTACGCCATTCCTTCGATCCGGATATCCGGCCGCGTGTTTCGTAGTCTTCCGGTTTCCTAATTGACATGTTTTACTTATTTATTTATTTATTTAAGTACACCAACGATTGTTACAATAATGCAGAAATAGTAAACACACATCCACTTATATACTAATTGTACAATCAATTAAAGTTATACACCACATGCTAAAATTTACTAAAAACTTACCTAATAAAAAACAAAAAAATATATAAACTTAAAAAATACAAAAAATTACTTAATATTTGATGTAATAAATAGATTATTTAAAAGATATAATCTAACTGAAGTTATCATCGGATCTAATTGAAATTTTGTAGACAGTGCCAGTCTTTCGATAAAGATATCAACAAAATTTGTTAACTATACTCGAAGATATTTTTATTTTTACATAATGCACGGAGATAAACCAACACGCAATCCATCTTATGTTAATTTTTTGGTAATCCGATCAAGGCCAGACATATAAAAAAATAGTTGAAACTCCTAAGTCTAAATGCTCTGATGTGGATGTAAGCAGTTTGCCGCAAGAACGAGAGAGACGCAGTGACGCATCATTTTACGTCGTGGAGGCTGCAAAAGAACTGTGTGAGCAAGAGAAAAGTGACTAGAGTAGCAGTACGCAACGCTACATATAAATATAGCACTATTGTCTTGATAACAACTTAAGATAATAGAAAATGCACTTGTCAACCCGCTTACCAAGCATTGCAATAAATTTTGAAAAAAAAAACAATTGTGAATTAGATATTTATTTGAAATTTGCCCGCTTTGATTAGGCAGAATGTATAGAACTAGTCTTAGATGTTATAATACTATTTTTGTAACACTTACATTCTATGCAAATAAACAATTATGATTTACCGATAGGAGGAAACGTCTCCGTTTACTCGACCATTTCCAGCTTAGCTGTTTTAGTAGTTTTTAATGGCGGTCATTCGGCAGGTTTCGCCTTTTTGTTTGACTTCTAGCGCCGATAATATTCCGGCGGGAGCGAAGCGTAGCAGCAGCTATACTCAACCAAATCTAAGAAATACATTTTAACGTTTCATATTAATTATTCCGCAATAACTTTGTACAAGTGTACTCACACGATTTAAAATAACCCTTTACATAAATTCCAATAATTATGAAGTAATATAACTTTCATTACATTTCATGTATAATTTTTTATAACTAATTTAAGTTCGAATCTTTTTTCATAAAAGCAAAATATACAAATTACCAGAGTCAACTTTTTTGCCTGACGGTGTTTCAATGATATGTCGCCATGTATCTTACCGTAGTGTTTGGATGATTAAAGGTCATTGTTATGAGAATGATCGCCAAAAATATTCAAATAATCGAATCTTTAATTTTTTTTTTATTTATTATTTGTTTCCTTAACTTTACATGAATAATACAAGTTTATTTTTTTATAATGTCCTGCTTATTCACCGTAAATTTGTGTCGGCAAAAAAAACACATATCCAAGTCTGTGTTGAAAAAAACCCAGTATGTAATTCCAATCTCCCACCATTTCGGGAGCTTACTGTGCGTACTTTTGTGAATTTGTGTTTGTCTTCTTATTTTGTGACTCAGCTAGACACAAGTGTTGGGTCGTATCGGTGAAGCACTCGGAATTGGCAAATGTGCCGTTACCAAGGTCGTCACTGAAAAGTACGGCCCTTCAGGCAGTGAGAATAATTTACTTCATACGCCGAAAAAACAAAAAAAGAACAAACCAGTAACAGATGTCGATCAATTCGACGCAGATGCAATTATAAAACATGTCTACGGCTATTTCATAAAGGGCAAATATCCTATTGCGGTGAAGTTGCAAGAAAGTTTAGTAGATGCCGGCTTGTAAAATGATAGTGTAGATTGATTGAGGACCATATTAAAACGCATAGGCTTCCGATACAAAAAACAATTTGATAAACTCAAAATAATTATGGAAAGGCGTGACATAGTCTTTTAAAGAATAACATTTTTAAGAGATATGAAAAATATAACCAATTGTGACAGCGCCATATTCGTTGACGAAACGTGGTTAAACGCAGCTAACATGGTTGCAACACAAAAGAGTGGAAGCGGACACGAAATTATTGAAAACTGAGCTAATACAATTAGTAAAGCGAAATAAACCACGTAAACGTTTGTAGGTTATATATATATATATTATTGATAAAATAGCACAAGAGCACGGGCATAAAGTTATAAGACTACCACCATGCCACTGCTAATATAATGCCTTTGAATTGATTTGGGCCCTAATCAAAGGCTAGTTCTTATATGAAATATTCTAAATTCAAACATAGTAACTCTACTTAAACACACACTAGATGAACATATCTTATGTTTTTACAGGCTACGCAGCACAACACAACACCAAGCCACCTTTCACGATAAAGAAGATGGAAGGTTTGCCGAAGGAAGCATGTGCCCATGTCTCAAAGGACGATTCGGCAAAAGTGGTGGAAAAAACAAAGAAAATTATTATGGATGACTTTGAAAGAGACATTAATTTTGACTACATTATTGAAAATCAAATAATAATTAATCTAAACAACGACAGCTCAACTAGTTGTAGTGAAAGTGATTGAATCAAGTTATTTTTAATCTAGTTTCAATCTTTAATTTATATAACTGTCCCTTGAAATAAGCAATAAACACGAAGAAACTCATATATGTTGTGTTTTAAGTTATCCATTTCTAATTTATTCTTGTATTAATTAAATTATAAACAAAGCTGTAAATGATTACCAACTCTAAAGAATCGATATCGATATCGATTTTTTTTTAGAATCGAATATTGTACCTACAGATTTTTTGGTCAAAATGCCTAGTTCAATAAGTCTGACAGCTGTCAAAAGGTATTTCTTAAATTTGGTTGTATATTAGCCCTATCTAGATATATGTTTTTTTTTATAGGATAAGGGTGACAAACGAGCACACAGTCCACCTGATGGTAAGTGGTTGCTGCGGCCCATAGACATCTACATCTATCCTCGTTTGCGAATCAAAATGTAGATGCGTTGTCACCCGTGAGGACTAAGATGGAATGCCTCATTTCCAGTAAAAAGGGCCTCCGGCCACCTGCACTCACCAAGCGAAACGCAGATGTATGTAATGAAAACAAACACATTATACGCACCTCTCCACCATTAACTGCACCAACTCCTTCAAGCAACGTTTGACGAGGTACCGCCTCCTGGCTTCCGAGACCTGCGCCTGTCTCGCACTTCGAAGTGCCATTATAGTGGTCAACAGTTCATTCTCCTCGCATAACTTCCTTCTTTTAAGTACCTAACACAGAAAATGGGTTTGTCTACTAGTGTCTTTTTATAGAATAATGGAGACAAACGAGCACATAGTCGATCTGACGGTAAGTGGATGCTGTGGTCCATAGACATCTACATTTATCCTCACTTTAGAATCAAAATGCAGATACTTTGTCACCCCTGAGGACTAAGATGGAATGCCTCGTTTCCAGTAAAAAGGATCCAGGTTTAAACAATCTAATATATAAAATAGAGTGTGCATCGTTTTGATGCGAAATACGTTTCTCGTCATCGATTGAAAAGTATCTATGGCACAGTGTACTCGTTTACATATTCCAATCCAACTGACATCTATGATTGATTAAAAATCAAAATGCAGACGCGTTGTCACACCTGAGAGTTAAGATGGAAAGTCTTATTACCAGTAAAAAGGGTTCTCCGGTTTTTTTCTCCCATCAAATGATATACACCAGCTCTGTTTCACGCCGGTATTCTGACAGCGTGATCCTTTTCCGATGGAGTCGTCCTATTGACGCTAAAACCAAAATACACTACTCATTTGATTTCTCAACTAGGTGACTGCGATATTATTTTGGCGACGCTCAGAAACAGATTAATTACTTGTAAGTATAATATATACTGTAAAATCTCAATAAAGAGAAGAAAAGCCATAATACTAAATACCACACGTAGTGTTTATGTATGTCATAAGTTTTCACAACTGCGAATATGAATTACAAAAAAACTTAATCTATACATATAAATAAAATTGAAGTGTTTGTCTGTAATAATGAGATAACTGCCTTATATTGTGCTGAGGGCATAATTTCCGTGCAATTAAGACATGAATAAACCTTTTTTTAATTTTTGCTCGTCTGTCTATCTGCCCGCTATTACTTGGTCAGTGATCGGTTCATTTAGTTAATGAGTGTTAATTCAAAATTGGGAATAACACTGTGACATATCACCGTGAGTCATGACACAAGGTTAGATAGCAATAATTTGAAAAAAATATTAAGATCTCTTACCTGGTCTAGGTGATAAGACTCCTTTTCTGCCTACGAGTCTGTCTAGATACCACCCTCTTCCCTATTTTTTTAAAAGATAGGGTAACAAACGAGCACACAGTCCACCTGATGGTAAATGGTTGCTGCAGCCCATAAACATCTACATCTATCCTCGATTACAAATCAAAATGCAGATGCGTCGTTACCCGTGAGGACTAAGATGGAATGCCTCATTTCCAGTAAAAAGTGTCTCCGGTTCTCTACACTCACCATACTTTTACGCTGGTATTCTGTGAGAGCGTGGTCCTTTTCGTGGACCTATTCGTGCTACAACTATACTACTAATATAGCTGCAGCATGGCTCTACCACGGAAAAATTTCAGCTGCAAAGCGGCCGTGCGTATACACTGCTGTAGTTCGATCTGAAGGATATAGAAAACCAGCATAATGACAGGCTGGGAAGCATTCCATTTTAATCCTCAGAGGTGACAATGCGTCTGTGACCTTCTTTATTTGAAATTGGTAGCAGTTATCCAGGAACTTCACTTGCCACTTACAATCTAGATTGACTGTTTGTCACTTTAATTTTACAACGAAAACTTGCAACCCGCCCCCGGCTTCGCTTTGATGTCATTCTTTCGATTTAAGATAATCATCAAAAACCATTTATTTTATCAATTTTTCATTTTGGAAAATATATCTCCATGTTTTTCGAATAAAACATAGCCTAGATTGTAAATTACTCCTGGAATTGCTTTTTATCTGTTCGTGAAATTTCATTGCAATCGGTTCAGCTATTCCGAAAATTAGTCCGGAGAGACATACAGATAGACAGATGAAAAAAACTTGAAAAAACATTTACTCGTGTCTTAATGACATGCAAATAAACCCCTCAGGTCAATAAAATGCAGTTACTTAAATTTTATTTATTTGTGTACAAATTAAGAAGCACTACGGTTTTTGCGGGAACTTATTCCCGAGAGATTGCGCTACTGTATTATTAGTTAAATAGCGTTTGAAGTAGAATTTGATACGTAAAAGTGGTGCGATTTTGTGTATTAAATGTGAACTAATTAGTGGATGAAACAAGTGCTACTATGGTAATGTGAATCTCCAGATAAGGTGTCTGCTTAGGCCCCTTGAGATACTCTCGTCATCGACTGTCTGCCGATTCGAGCTGTCGTTAAAATCTCCCAAAAACTTAACAATGCGACGCGCCAACATATTGTCAAGAAGGTTTTAAAACAAATTATAATAAACGATAATTCAATAACTTGCCTTGATACTGGCAAAAGTACAACCGTCCATGACCAAAAAAAATCACTAGTTCTATTCTCGTACCTCCTTATGATCCGTTGTATAACGCCAAGTGACGTCCTGCAAATCGTCTCTCGAAACAGCTATCACGTATGTAAGCTTTTTCTTCCAACCACAGCTGTATGTTAACGGAGCATCCAGCAAATATTCGCACGGATCTGCGTGTAGCCAAGTGTTCGTGTCATAATCGAATATCTGAAGAGATATGAAAATACAGAAATGTTAAAATTTCTCTAAGATTTCGTTTAGGCGACGACGACGACTGACGAAATTCTGTTCGCATGTCGCAACCCGAAATTCGAGGCAAAATAGTGATGTACTGAATCCCCCAACTATTGTAAACAACCAGTCGACAGATGATGTCACGCAGGGGCCGGAGGGCGTTCTAAAATTACTAATTTATTAATTAAAAAAGTGTAATGTCTAACAGAACTCGTTTAAGACTAACTTAAAGTCTATGCTTAAAACAAAAATGCACGAGAGCTCACGCAGGAACCCGGCAGTATCCGTTTGTCTACTTAACACATGCGTGTAGTCTGCAGCCAGAATATTCTGCTGATGCGGACATCTGTTCTGCTGGTGGGTCTCCCCACCCATAACAAGGTCGTGTTCACTTGGTCAAGAATAGATACACCATACCAACATATAAAAAAACATTTATATGAAAATCATTACCAGAGTCCAATGACACAGATATTCCACCAATAATATATTGTCATTTGTCACGACCGAAAAATAATTAATACCTAACTAGCTACTTAATAATTTTGCGTATTATCTTACATGACAATTAACAAACAATTAATTTTTGCTTTCTTTTCAGTAATGAACATCAATTAAATATAATGAATATTAATCACTGATACTGTATTACACGTTTTATACTTGGTAGAGCCACGCAGTCGAATAGAGTACCTCCTCCTGTTTCGAGTCGGTAGAAAACTGAAGGTAGCCGGGCTAACTATGACATCGGGACATCAAACACCTCAGTCACCCCCGTGGCCATATGAACACACAGTCTATCTAATGGTAAGTGGATACTGACCCATAGACATCTTCATTTACCCTCGATTAATATCAAATTGCAGATGCGTCCTCCCCCCCCCACCCCCCCCTGAGGACTAAGATGGAATGCCACGTTTCCAGTATAAAAGGTCTCTGGTTTTCTACACTCACCATACGAAACACAGTAGTATTAAGGTACTATTTTACGTTGGTATTCTGTGAAAGCATGGTCGCCCCCGGTCAAGACGACCCATTCGTGCTACAACCATGATATTATTGCAGCATGGCTCTACCACGTATAAAATGTTGCCAATAGTTTCTAATACTCTATAGAAAAGTACCTCGCACCAAACGTGGTCCGTGGCATCGTATACGTAGCGCGTGTCGTACCCCAGCGCGCGACAGAACAGCGTGAAGCAGCTGGCCCACTCGCCGCAACGTCCGCGACGCGTTCGCAGCAACATTGCTACATCATTGTGGCGTGGAAAGTGCACCTCCGCGCTGCATTGCGTGCACTTGTATATCTGGCGATAATGTTAACACTATATTTACATCATTACAACCCGCAGCACAGGTTTGCCGATAGCGTCATGATGATCACGTCTTTGACTGCCTAGTCTGTTTTGTTGGCCTAGTTTGCTTTGTTGTGTCCTGCGCCTGATCTATGAGAGTGAGGGAATAGAGAGTGCACCTGTACTTGCGCATACACACGGGCACTATAATCCTGTCCTGGGCTAGTCTCCCTTGAGACTGGCCGCCGTGACCGATATTCGGTCTGGAGGATGATGATGTATGATTACGTCATGCGTCCATAGTCAATAGTAGTCGATTGTCAGAAGCTTTGCTAGCGATACTGCCGGATAAACAGAATTCACTTTGTACCACTGTAGCGGAACACTATAAAAACGATATGAATCGATGATATTTAAATACAAAAAGGTAGATACGTTACTAGCAGGTCAAAACTGAAGCGTCGAAAAGTGGTCAATTAGCCACTCATACCCTATGATCATATTGAATATGATTATGGGATAGAAATATGACGCCATGATTTCATAAGCTTCAAGAAAAGAACAACATAAACAATATATGTTTCAGAACTGGTCTGATAAGATCATGAAGAGTGAGAGAAATGTAAGTAAAACATAAAAATGTGTAACGTGCTGCCGTTGGGACGGCCGAGTTCGAAACATTTTTTTCGGTAGTTTTGTGGGCATATAACGTATCTATACAAAAATATAATTGATATGAATGAGACACCTCAATGTTAAGCCACGTGACAATTTTGCGAATTAACGCTTACTTGATTCATTTTTATAGTTTCTATATTATGTGCTAACGATTATAGAAATTCAACTTGACTGACCACGTAGCACAGAATAGTTTCACAAATACTTTCTCTAAATCTCTTATTATAATATTAAATTTAATTTGACTATCAAATAAAGATGTATGAAAAAAAATTACCTCTACTCTGCAGGTCTCAGTTCCTATTTTCATATTTTCATTTCTTTCGTGGACAGTAGGTGCCCCACATTGTTCACAGTCGGGTTTGTCTACCCACGAAAAGAAGGTATTCTTGAACCAACCCAGCAGCTCCATCAGGAGACCAATCTCAAATGATAAGTCATTGCCAGTCTCTTCGCCTACCAAAAATTGCATGTACAAGAAAAGTTAAGTTACTTTTAAGTTACTACATATTGTCTGAGGGGGTTATTTTCTTATTGCATATAAGAGTGACAAACGAACACAGTTCACATGATGATAAGCGGATGGTATGGCCCATAGATATCGATTGGAATAAAAATGCGGATGCGTTGTCACCCCTGAGTAGGGTTACCGGGTGTCTCGCTGGAAAATCCTGACAAAAGTATATTTCTAAAAAAAATGTCCTGATATTAGGGTCGCGAGCGCGCGAGCTGTATATAATGTAGTAGATATATCGATCTACTACTTGGCTCTCTGGAGGAGGTTACAACCTGGACGCGGGTAGCACCACAGGGCGAAAATAGTGTAGTAATAAGTTTAAGGTTAGTTTTGTGTGCCGTTTTTGCTATTACAGTCTAGAACGCGAATGTTGAAAGAGTGTTCTCTGTAATGGGAGCTGTGGTTAAATGAACAAAATCGGCTTACGGTTAGGGGTTTTTGAGTATGTTCGTTTTTTACACAATGTATGTAGATTATGTAAAGATTTCGTGTTAATTGTTTTCGTGATTCCAAACGAGATAACAAAGAATTTATAATATTTTTAGTCTATCTATTATAAAATTTGCTAGAATAAATATCTATTATAAAAGACTTATATAATTTTTTTATAGAATGATGGTGATAAACGAGCACAATCTACCTGATGGTAAGTGGATGCTGTGGCCCGTAGATATCTACATTTATCCCCGATTAAGAAACAAAATGCAGATGCGTTGTCACTCCTGAGGACTAAGAATGTCTCATTTTCAGCAAAAAGGGTCTCCGGTTCCCTACACTCAACATACGAAGAAAAACATATTTTACGCTGGTATCATATATATAAATATATAAGTAATTAAAGAGATTGAATCGAATATGTGCAACTTATACAATGTTTGATTAATATTCGATTCAGTTTTGCACATAGTTGCACAGTGTAGTTTAAGTTCGTTTATATGTAGGTAGATGAAAAGAATTTTTATCTATCTACATAATAATAAACTAAAATTGCAATTAATTATTTAATTTTTATGTTAATTGGGTTGATTTAATTTAATTTTATTGTTTCTACAGATAAAACAATAGGTACACAAACCTATACAGTATTTCATTGACTCGCCAAAATCCTGATGTTTTCAAAAAACCCCCAGAATCCTGACCAATACCTGATAATCCTGAAACGTCAGGAGACAAATTTCAGCAAGTCCCACCTGTTGGTAAATACGCTCATGATGCTGTTTGTGCTGGAGCGAAAGCAGTATAGATGGGAAGCGCACCGCTTTCTAATGATCGTATAAAAACAGCCAGTGTGCACAAAAGCGTAAATGCCGGCGTAATATACTTGTTGCTGTATTTCCTATAATGAGTATTGAAAACCAGATACCCTTTTACTAGAAACGTGGCATTCCATCTTAGTCTTCGACGGTGACAACACATCTGCATTTTGATTCTTGAGGAGAAAGGAGTCTCTGAAATATAATTTCAGACGTAAGTAAACATTTACGTATTTTTTTACTCTTTGAATATTCTGAGACTTTTCCTTTTTTCAATGGTGTCGTAAGAGTCGAAAGAGGGACACAAACCAAGTGAATAGCCGCATCTTCTTAATAACCACTACAAAATAAAAAACAAAGGCTACCAAGCATGGCAACTATGGAAAATATCCCCCTTACAATGCAATCTACAGGGAAGCCTGTTTAGCAGTGGATTTTGATAGGCTGTTATATAAATAAATGAATGAAAAGACCCCAATGTTATGGAAGTAGTATTTTGATGGCAACACCCACTGTATTAAACATGACACACTGAAATTGCTATGCAAGATGCAAGTCTATGTTTCGTGCATTCCATATACAAAATGTTTATTAATAGTCTTACCATTTTTTAATTGTCTTTGATGTTCTCTCACCCTTTCTATTGCATTCAGTTGGAGTGTTACTAGAGGAATGTGTTCCCGAGCTAATGCTTGTATCTCTTCATTTTCATATTTTAGAATATCATTAAAAAGCATTTGTACTTTTAGTAAAAACTCATTCTGTGTTGTCTATAACAAATGATAAATTACAATAGAGTATTAAACCAAGTATTAATACCAATTGAAATTTTTATAAACTGTTAGTGAAATTTTTATACATATGTATATATATATATATAATATATGTTCATATTATGTGATTTTATTAATACTATATAATATAAAACTTTCAATTCTTGACACTTTAGACATACTAATAAAGTTCTAACACCTGTGTTAGTTATCTTTATAAATACTAAGATAAAATGTAAACTTATGAATATTTTAGATAAAGGAAAATGAGTGTTATAATTAATTTCATAAAAAACATACCACATACACTGGTTTTAGCTTAGGCTTATTGGCTTGGGCAAAGGTGGAGGCTGGTTTTGTGAACAGAAACTCGGATTTGGATCCATAACAAATGGATATCTTCCTTTGGATAGCTACCTGTGCCAGTCTTAATTTGCTAAGAGATTGTTCCTTTGGATATATGTATTCACCTTTTACCTAAAAAACTCAAAAACATTAGACAATAATTTAGGATATAAGGTTGAAATGCATTACAATAAAAGTTCACTCCTGAACATAGGTCTCCCGCAAAGATTGCCTTATATTTTGAATAGGAATAATTGCCAAGCTAGGCAGGCGGGTCAACAACTGCAGTATTTGATTATTTTGAATTTTTATAACCTCTCCCATTTCAGTTATCACTTTTATAATTTATATAGGTATAAAAGTATTCTACAAAATGTCCCGAAACTCAACGTCGATGTTGACGTCAATAGGGGGTTGTTATACCAGCCTTGGGAAAAATAAAAAGTCAGTTCAGTTGTATCTGTCAAATTTATGAAAAAGAAGAAAATTTACACATTAAATCATATGATTAGGTAATAATGACCACAAATTTCACTATTTTTTTACTGATTTTTTCACTAACATGGTCTTAAATAAACATGCTATTAATCGCAGTCACAAATCAAGCAAAAAAAAAAACAAGGTTACTAGACTAGTAAAACTTAAAGTAGTTTAGTAGTTAGTTTCTTTTAGTCACACACATACATATATTTTCATCCTTAAAAAATAAAATTAATTTAATGTTATGAAATAAGACCTAAAATCAAAACAGTTCCACACTTACACCACAATACATTTCATCTATTAAATATTTAAAGAAAAGCAAATGAAAGAGAAATGTTTTTGAATGAAACAGGTAATGCGCTGTTTCATGTCAATTATAGCTAGACAGGCTGGTAGTTGACACCATTTTGATATTCAAAACGAATATTTATGCCGCTAGTTATAAGATTTATCAAAAAACTATTTCAGAAATAGCTCAAATATCGAATATAGCACCCAAAAACATAGAACGCGAACTACAATCAGTCAAAGCAGCTATGTTTACTTGTGTGTGATGTCACCATACTTGCAACCAATCACAGGGCATTTCCCACCAGAGATAAAATATCAATAATAATTATGTTTTATTTTCGATTATTTTGTATAAAATATACATATTTTAGTTTAAAATAAAGTGAAATATATTTTTTAAGCCATTATCTAAGGATGACCACAATTTGTAGTATTTTTTTAAATTGTCAAATAGCCTGTTACACTAACAGTGAGTTAAGTTATTATTAGAAGTAGAGGACTTGAAAATTAATACTTTAGAATAAGTTATGAAATCTACTTGACTATTGATATAAATAAGTTGTAATAGTGCCTTCCAATGGATACTTCTGAAGGAACATGGACAAAACAAAAGTCATGAGTAACATCAATGTTACACCTATGCCTGTAGTTGTTGTGAGCACTAAGCTCGAAGTTGTTGATGAGTATGTTTACCTGGGACAAATAGTCCGACTAGGTAAGTCCAACTTTGACTGAGAGGCTAATCGACGGATTCAACTCGAGTACCTCAAAACAAGATTTTTCAATCAGTGCATGTTGCCAGTGATGACATATGAATCTGAGAAGTGGTCCTTCACTGCTGACCGTATGAAGAAGTTAAAGGTCACTCAGTGAGCTATGGAGAGGGCTATTCTCTACATGATAGACTTAAAAACGAGGATATCCACAGAAAAATCAGAGTAACTGACATAGCCCAATGGATTAGTAAGCTGAAGTGGCAATGGGCCGGCCATATAGCTCGAAGAACCGACAACTGATGGGGAAGAAAGGTTCCCAAGTGGCAGTCTTGTACTGGCAAACAAAATCCCCCTACAAAATGGAGTGATAACCTGGTAAGACATGCAGGAAGTGAATGGATGTAGGGCTCGGGACCATGCTTTGTGGCATTCCTTGGGGGATGCCGATGTTTAATAGGACTTGTGATGGGCTGTAATGATGATGAATGATGCTTGATATAAATTACAGTAACACTAATGTTCTCTATGCGGGAGGCCTATGTTCAGAAATGAACTCTGATGGGATGATGATCGATAGTGTTAATTTAACACACAGAAGCTGTAAGTTGGTGTCCAGAGAGAAGTGCGTTATATATACTTTAGTAATATTGGTTAAGATTACTAATTCAAGATGTAATAAGTAAATTAAAAAGTTAAAGTGAAATGTCATATTTTAGTTTTCCAAAAAAGACTTTTATAAAAACAAGAACATAATTTTATAATAATATTATAATACTAGCTAACCAGGCAGACATTGTTCTGCTCTTTCCGACGACCTTTTGTCTAATAAAAAAAAACTTATATTCACAATAAAAAAAAAATATTGATGGTCACTTAACGGGATAAAAACTATCCTATCTCTCAAGTTGGACCAAAACGCACACAGTGTGCAAAATTTCATTGAAATCAGTTCAGTTGTTTAGGAGCTCATCGCGGACAAACAATGTGACACGTAATTTTTATGTATAAAGATTTATTAAATTACAAGCATTTTATGAACCTTACCATCTAAAATTTATTTCACGACTCACCAGTTGGAATCCAATGTATTTAAGGTAATCACTAACAGCTTCATCTTCCATAGCTTCTTTAAGATAAAGATTTTTTAGAGTACGCACTTCCAAATCATGAGGGTTTTCTAATATATGGTTGATGTGCTGCAAAAGATCATGCAACACTCTATTGAATTTATTAATATCGCTTAGATGTTGTTCAATTACAGCTAAACGTGCAACGTCTTCCATTTTACCGAGCTAATTTTTCTTCGGACTTTTTCTAATACTACATATACGGTCTAAAAATTTTACTTTATCATTGTTTATCATCTCAACAAAGAGTATAGTAACTGTCCTATACCATCTCAATCACTTGTCAAATTTTATTTTACTCATTTTGTCACAATGTCAAATTTTGTTTGTCTTTGATTGTTGTTGTTTTTATTATTCGCTCGAGTGAGCAGGCAAAGGAACTAAGCCATACATCCTTGTCTTTTTTATAATATCTTCATAATTCACTGCTTCACAATATGTTGATGCATCACATTGTGCAGCCCTTGGGAGATTTTGACGGCAACTTGAGCCAGCAGACAGCTGACAGCCGCTCTGGAGGCTTGTTGGATTTGGAAATTATTAAATGAGTTAGACGTTAGTTGTAATACCACTACCATATATGAAGACAATAAAAGTACAATATTTTCTGTATGTAATCCTGATCTAAAAAGAATGAAACATGTGGACATAAAATACAACTTTATTAAACATAAAATAGAATGTAAGGAAATTGGTGTTATGTATATACCTACAAAGCAACAAATAGATGATATTTTTACGAAACCATTAAATAAAACCTCTCATAATTATTTTGTACATAAATTAGGATTGGAATATTTGTATATAATTGGAGTTTAGTTCGCCTATTGTGTATTTTTAATTTGTTAGTTCTGTTAATAGAAATCATTGTAATGTTAGTTCTTACTTATTCATTGTAATGTTTTAAATTATTGTAATGTTAGTTCTGTTAATATAAATCATTGGGGGCAGGTGTTAATTAACAATAGAATAGAATAGAATAATTTTTTATTCAATATCGATTATTACATAATTCTTATTGAAAGTAATTTTTTAACCACCACTGGTTCGGAAAATACCTCTGTCCTGGGAAGAACCAGCAAGAAACCCAGCGGGACTTTTTTTTTCAAACAATTTCGCTTATACAATTTTTAAATAATTTTTCATAGAACCAGCATGGTGGCGATCACCTTATTCCCAGGGGTTATTTTCATTCATATATTCCTTGATATTATAATAACCCTTTTTGTACAGTTTTTCTTTAATAAAACTTTTAAACTTGTTTATTGACAAACTTTGAATATGTTCTGGGATTTTGTTGTAAAAGCGTATACATTGCCCCATAAATGAATTACTGATTCTGTGGAGTCTAGTGACTGGTAATACAAGCTTATGTTTGTTTCTAGTGTTTAAAGTATGCACATCCTTATTCTTATTAAAGCTATTTATGTTTTTATGTACATACATTTCATTTTCATAAATATATTGCGATGCCAAAGTTAATATGTTTATTTCTTTAAATTTTAGTGTGAGGGACTCTTTACAATTTAGGTTGTAAATTGCCCGAACGGCTCTCTTTTGCAAAACAAATATAGCTTCAATATCAGTCGCATTACCCCATAGCAAAATTCCATAAGACATTACGCTATGAAAGTAACTAAAATACACTAATCTAGCTGTCTCAACATCTGTGAGACTTCTAATCTTTCTTACAGCATATGCTGCAGAACTAAGTCTGCTTGCTAATTTAGATATATGGGGGCCCCCATTGAAGTTTCGCGTCAATAGTAATACCGAGAAAAACAGTGGTATCCACAAGACTCAACTCCTCCCCATTTAACAGCACATTGATATTCGAATGTTTTACATTAGGTATTGTAAATTTAATACACTTTGTCTTATTGCCGTTCAAGAGCATATTGTTGGCGTTAAACCAATGTACTAATTTCGATAGAGCATTATTTACATCGTCATAATTAATTAACTACCGTTTGAGTTTGAAAATTAAAGAGGTATCGTCAGCAAATAATAGTATATCGTGATTGTCCCCTACAAGATAAGGTAAGTCATTAATATAGATTAAAAACAGGAATGGGCCAAGATTCGAGCCCTGAGGAACGCCCATTGACACTACCGATCCGGAATAACCTTTACCATTGATAACGACTTTTTGAGTTCTGTTACTTAAATATGAAGTAATAAGTCTAAGCGCCAAATTTTTTACACCGTAATATTGTAGTTTCCTGATTAATGTCTCATGATGAACACAATCGAAAGCCTTGGAAAGATCACAGAAAATACCTAAGGCATCTTGTGTATTCTCCCAGGCATTAAAAATATATTTCATAAGCTCAAAACCGGCGTCAGACGTCAAGCGACCCCTTGTAAAACCAAATTGGTTTTTATGAAGTAATGTATTTGTATTGAAAAAAAAAATGTGATGAAATGTGAATGATTTATATAATACTGTATTTTAATGGCAACACTGCATCGGTTGTCAACACTGTGTCTGATATGAAGGAAGCAAGGAGTTTTGGCGGGAAATTGACCGGCGGCGGTTTGCTGCTCCTGTATTATAGTTTAAATAATAGTTTGAAGTGGATTTTGATATGTAAAAGTGGTGCCATTTTATGTATTAACTGTCTACGCATGTGAACTATTAGTGGAAACGGTGAAACAAGTGCTCTGATGGTGATGGATTCTCAAGATAAGCTGTTTGTCTGCATAGGCGCCTTTAGATACCAACTGTCAACTGTCAGCTGTCTGCTGGCTCAAGTTGCCGTCAAAATCTCCCAAGGGCTGCACAATGTGACGCATCAACATATTGTGAAGCAGTGAACTATGAAAGATAATTATACATTTGGGAAATTATAATAAACCGAATAAAAATACTCAAGACTTGGCCTAAAGGTCTAGATACCAGGCCATAAACTCCAAAAAAAATGAAGGAAGCAAGCAAAGAGAATATAATCACTACGTTTAGAAGCAAGGTTCAATATGATCACGGCTGGTAATCTTTGAGCAAAAATCTTTGACCGTATGAAATGCAGTGAGCAATCCAGAACATGACGTTTCCCTAGTCCCTCCCATCTCTTGCCCCTTCCCGCTGCCGCCATTTTGTCATGTTATTGTCGCGTAGCTGTCAAGTTAGAAGTTTTCTTGGAAATTTTCATTTTGTTTTTCTATGAAGTATGAACTAACTATAAATTATAAATAAAGTTTTATTGGCATTTTACTGCTATTTTACGAAAGGATGTTTATTGTTTTATAGCTTATATATTTCGACGGGACGTTTTCTTTAACTTTAGTGTATTTTGTATAAAAATTTTAGTTTTAAAATGTATTTTTAAGTGTTTCATTCCCAATTGTGCAAGTAACAGAGAAGAGTCTGACGAAGGCCAAAGAAACAAGTGGTTGGACTTTATAAACTGTGACAAACTTAAAAGTATGCTGCATTCCAGTAACCATTTCAAGAAGCCTGCTTGGTCACAAATTTTTTTCTTGAATAAAGGGTTTCATACTGCTAAATCTGACATTAATAAGGCTAAAAAAGGTTGAATAAACTCAACACTAATCTTTGGAGTAAATTGAGTTAGGTTTATCATCAAAGATGACAAAGGTATGTACATTTAATTATTCCTTAATAAACGTAACTGCTCAGTATATTCAGTATTCATATAAAATTTAAAAAATTATAATAAAGATGTACGGGAGTACTGTACTTAAATAAAACTACTTAATTCCTGGCGTTTCAAGTGATCTCTGATAACAACTTAGTAATAATAATAAACTGGTTGCCAACTTGTCTGCCAAGTGTTACAACTATGGAAAATGTACACCTTATATGATAACCTATGAAGGCCTATGTTTACCAGTAGCTTTATGATAGTCTGCAATGAATGAATGATGAATGAAATAATAATAAATTCTTTTTATAATAATTTATTAAAATTTTAAGTTAATGGCTGAAGTAAATGAGGAATTCTATTATTTTAAATAACTAATTGTCAACATTATTTTATGCACAATCGCACACCTCTAGTCTTAATAATTACAAAATCAAGGATGTCTGAATGACAATGACAATCAATCTTTTATGTTTTTATTTCAGATGATACAGTTCAAATAAATTTAGTGTGATATTTGATCAGCCATCATAAAAAAGGTATGAGGAATAATTTTGCTGTCAAAACACATAATAACTGATGGAAATGTATCAAAATAGCAAGATGATGTGTACTAAACAGGACTGCAAGCATACTCAATTGCGCTTGTTAGATAAACTAAATGATGACCATGTGATTCCCAACAAAGTAAAAAAATTAAGGTAATAATCATGTAAAATTGAAATTGCAAAACAATCGCCATTCTAAAACTTTAATTCAGATAATATTTTTATTAGGATTAGTAATATGTTTATATTTTTGAGCAAATTTGATCTCTGTCTACACCATGAAATAAATGAATTAATGTTAATTCCAATTTTAAGTGCTAATTTATCATGTTCTGGAACATTCTGACGAAATCTGTGTGTCTAAGGAATAAAAATATTTTAAAGATGTAGTCTACCAATAAGCACCTTGCCCAACACATTGTTTCATACCCCTCTGAGAAATGAGACAGTCTGTGCCCAGCAGTAGAACATGAACATAGACTCCAATAGATAATTGGCTACTTTACAAAATATACTTTTATCTTCCCAACCTTCTATCAAAAATTGCTACAGTGTACTTAATTATCTTAGGTATCAATGATAATTATGTTCAAAAATTATTGGAAATTTCTGAATTGTGAAAGCTTCTTATATTTATGTGAAAGTAACTTTATCTGATTACAATGGCCTCTTCTTGTCTTGACATTTTCTATGCAAACATTTATAAACTACAACAATTACAATGAGCAACAAGTTTAATATGTGCTAACTTGTAATTTATATATTTAAATATTCCTTTTTCCAGCTCAATACACTGGATATCGAATGTATTGAAGATAACCTTTTCACTGAAAATATTCAAGTGCAAGCAGCAAAGGAGGAATTATATGTTTACTCTATAGCATGTACCACACATGGGTTTCTGAAAGGCACGGACATCATTAGAATCGAAAAGTGTACATTGCCACCAATCCAAAAAAAACCATGAACAAGTTTAAAAAAGTTAAAAAATAAATCATATAATAAATAATATATACAATGCATTTTATTTCTACGAATCCTTCATAATAAAATAATAATAATAAAAATAGTAATTAAAATTATGAATATAAAAATATTATATAGGTAAAGGTTAAATATTGTATAATTATATATATATATATATATATATATATATATATATATATAATTATACTGGGCTGAAATAAAATTATTCCCTTGCCTATATCCAATTCATATTTAAAAAAAAAAAAGTTTGTCATGTTCTGATTTGCTCTACGGTCCAAACTAAATGTACCAGAGACGTCCGTCTGAACGCGTAGTGTTTCTATATAGTTTGTGAATATGATGTTATAGGCTCTCCATGTTGTTGTTTTGAGGTTAATAAAAGGCACGTTTTATGTTCAAAGTATTATATCTTTAATTATCCCCATAATCCTTAACAGATACAACCTCAGCTATTTACAGGAAAGGAAAAACATCAATTATCAAGCTTTTTGATTAAAAGTCATTACTAAAGGAAATAGCAAATGTATTTTTGACCCAACATCAACTCCTATGTTATAGCAGATGCCGGAGAAAAAAATGTTTCTCGAAGTATACCGAGCGCCCTATACACAGTCTAAGATTAACAGATATCGATTCACAGTTTTTCTGAAATCTTGTACCAAGCCCAAACCGGATCTTTCTTCCCTCCCCACTACCAAGGGTTCAGCTAAATATCACCCTTACAGAGTATTCCATCAAGTACACAGGAGTGGCTTGGGAGCCAACTGCCTCCTGAAATATGGAATTGGAAGCAAGGAGTCGATGGAAACTTAGAACCAATCACCATCAAACTGAGGAGATATGGTTCTTTTTAGCGGTAATCGCGCAAACTTGTATCTTCTGGGGATTGAACTGAAATAAATTTAGTCGGCCCCAATCCGATACTTTGTTCAGCAAAAACTCGACTTCAGACACAAGTTTGTTCCGGTACTCGGCGTCGTTTTCCCGAGAAATATAGGCACAGCCAGTAAATAAAGCATCACCAATGCACGTTACTGGCTTGCAACATATTATTGATAAGCAGATGAAACAGCGTAGGTGATAATAGCACGTAGCCTTGTGGAACACCAGCATAAATAGACTTGTAAATGGAGTATGCACCTTCTACTACGACTTTGTTGCTTCAATCTGCAAGAAAACTGCTGATCCAGTTGCACAAATTCTCGGGAAGCCCATAGGAAGGGAGCTTCGAAAGAAGCGCTTTGAGCCAAACCCGATCGAAGACCTTCGCTATGTCCAAATTAACAGCCAGGGTCTCCCTTTCTGCCTCCGCCAATTTACGAGTCAGGTAAGCCAAAAGATCACCATCTGAGCAAACCCGACGGAAATCGTACTGGTGGTCACCTTTCAGTTGGTTATCCTCAACCTCTTGAGCTTGCAGTTCACAATGGTTTTCATTATTTTTGAGAAGTTGGATAGGTCTGAGCGATCGATTTTCGGTTATTTTTTAGGGATCTGGTACACTAAAGCAGTCTCTTCTTTGAGGTCGGGACTACGCTTAGGGAGAAAGAGTTTTAGAAAAGACACGTTACGACCGATGCCATACAACGTGATACGTAATTTTTATACATAAAGATTAATTTATACTTTGTCTATCACTCCTTTACTTCAATAGGTAATCAATGTAATATACCGTAAATTCTTCCGTATTAGATGGAGTGATGACCTGGTAAGACATGCAGGAAGTCGATGGATGCAGATGGTTAAGGACCGTGCTTTATGGCATTCCGTGGGGGAGGCCTATGTTCAGCAGTGGACTTGTGAAGGGCTGTAATAATGATGACGATGTACGCCCAAAACATTAAATTATGAAGTAGTAGCATCGATCAAGTAGTACCTAGGTAAAAACAGTTGGTAGGAATTCAAATATTTTCTTAAGTCGATTTTGTGTTGCAGTGGTATGCTATTCTAGTTTCAGAGACACGGAGATGATACGGAACAAAGAATCCCAACATATCAGGAGCCGAAAACCTATCTTCTTCCTATATTCTTTCGATCTTGTGATGATATATTTAGGTACACTGGTAGTCTGTGACCTCTAGACTGCAACCATACGTATTTTTTTATTCTTTGACCGTTACCATAGCATCAGATGGTAGGTAAACAAATATATAAAACAAAATGCAGAGCACTACTTCTCCATTTAAGAAAACAAATGGTACTAAAATATTAACAAGGCTTTGTTATAATTTTTCGTTTTTAACATTATTTTAAAAACTAATTATATTAGAAAAAAAAAATCTTTTACAGAATTTAACGTTTCCCGTAACTGGTTGCTGCATAGCCGATATGTTAGGGGGGAACATGCAATGTGTTTAGGGTTATCAGAAACTCTTCAGCGGCAGACTTATAACAAGCACACATATGCCCACTTCGTAAAGGTTCGTTTCACCAATCAGACATAATTTTCGGCGACAAAATACAAACTAAATAGGTAACAAATTTATTTTTCTAATGCACATACGTAAATAGAATAAAATATATTTTATTTAACATACATTATAATAGTACATACATTATTGGTAAGCCGTGGTAGCTCAGGAGCTAAACGCTCGCTCTAAATTTCACAACACGCGAGCATACCGGGTTCGATCTCCACCGGCACCTATAAAAATCGTCGTCGACGCCGCAAAGAGGCGAAACATAATTTTATTCAAAAAATTACAAGAAAGCAAGAAAACATTTATTAATCCCCGATTACCAGCTTTTTTTCATCAGAAAATTAAATATATTGGACTTAATGGAAAATTACAAATAATCGAGGAATAATAAATGTTTTATTGCTTTCTTGTAATTTTTTGAGAAATTGAGTTTGCGGCGTCAACGACGAATTTTATAGGTGCCGGTGGAGATCGAACCCGGTATAACGACGAATTGTTAATTGCAATTTTAATGAATAAATGTTATTAAAAGAAATATTTCGAAGGCAAGTGGAATCCGCCAACACACATGAGGTAGCACGGCGAATTATCCTAGAACCCTCTCTGAAATTATAGGATGCCTGTGCTCAACTGTGGGACGATTATAGGCTTTAACTTTACTTTTTAAATTATCACGTAATATTTACATATGAAAGGTCATTTTTACTTTCATTACTGGTTCGCCAAAATCTCAGAAAAACACCTTTGTTCTAAGCACTGACATCATAATCTGTGTCAGTAGAATCCTACACTCGATATTTTTTTATTTCCTTGTAATTTGTTACGTTATCAAATAAACATTAAGTATAATATGAGAATTAAATTTGAATACATTGCTAAACTAATAACTATAAATTAATTTAATGCAAAAATAAAAATTAGGGCCTGGTACTGGCGGATGCTGGACGTTTGCAAGAAGCTTTGGACCGTTTTCACACATGCATCAAACTACACTCTCAAGATCCTGAGCCCCTAAAACAGGTTGCAAAGTGTTTGTAAGTAATTATATTTTTTGTATTTAAGTGTGTTGATTTTATGTTTTGGTATATATAAATGTCCACAAATCTAGAATTTGTTAAAAACTTGTCTACAACGCCACCTATCGAATCCTAGCATAGCAGTCATCGTTATAGTCATCACTTCGAAAAATACAGTTACACGATCACTAACAGATGTACCAACGATTAATATATTATTTTAAAAGATAACCAAAAATTGTAGCTACGTCAACGTCTAAATAACTAGCAAAATACCTCTAAACAATCTTCTTTATACACAACAGATTGAGTCTACTTTGCTTCAAACCTCTTGTCTTTTTTTTTTCTTTGATTGTTATTGGAAACAAGCAAATATAGTGGCTGTTTTTTTTATAGTATAAGGGTGACAAACGAGCACACAGTCCACCTGATGGTAAGTGGTTGCTGTGGCCCATATACATCTACATCTATCCACGTCTGCGAATCAAAATGCAGGTAAGTTGTCACATGTGAGGACTAAGATGGAATGCCCCGTTTCCAGTAAAAAGGGTCTCCGGTTCTCTACACTCACCATACGAAATACAGCAGCTTTAAATTGCTATTTTACGCTGGTATTCTGTGAGAGCATGGTCCTTCCCCGGTCGAGCCGACCCATTCGTGCTACAACTATACTATTAATATAGCTGCAGCATTTTTGGCGTCGTTTTCACATGTCGTAGTGCGAGTAAAGTGTACAGTACCTGACTTTGTTCGCGTGACATTCCATGCTGATTTGAGACAACATTTGTCACATACCACTCATAATATGATTTGGGCAATTTCAGATATCGTCAAGGTCGTTTCTTATTATCACGCGACACTTATTTAGAAGCTGACAAATTAACGAAATATCCTGATGCTGATATTTACTGTGGATTGGGTAAGACAACTTCTTTTTTCATCTGCTAGATAGTGTGTATGTGTTCAATTAGTACTTGAACAAGTAGTGGCGGCGAAAAGGACACAGTCACAGTCGCAAGGTATATTATCACACATTGTTTTTGTCAGAGACTTGTCCATCAGGCAACGTTGTATGCAGTTGGTGTTTGTGGAAAAAGGTGACACATATTCTACCTAGCCAAAATCGTGTGGTGGCGTTGTAAAATGTCCACTACCATCAGCTCGCAAGTGTCGGCGCAAGGGGCGACGGCGGAAAATGAAGCAAAAGATATGTAACGGTATCTTCCTATATGTCAAATATGGCAAATAATCCCCCCCCCCCCCACCCTCCCACTCTGGGATTTATCATATTGTATTGTATCAAAATTTTACAGTCGTTTCCTTAATGTCATTTCGGAACAATAAAACACAACAAAATTGCTGCTTGAACACTCCAGAGCCCTCAAATCCGAATTCTGTTTTATATACCATTCAGATCTTAAACACACATTTCATTTTTTTTATTCCACGTTCCCGCCATTTTTAACTGCGAGTCCTGTTTGCATTAAATGTTCTTGTTATTATGTGGTTATTTCAGAATAGTTATAAATATATATGTACTTATTTGCTTTCTTCACAGCCGAGTGCTCTTGGAACCTAGGCGAGATAGAGCGCGGTGTGGAGTGGGCTGAAGCGGCTGTACAGGCAGATGGAGGCGAAAGAGCCGGGGCTTTGTTGGCCAGACTTCTACTGGCATGCGATCAAACAGAAGCAGCTTTAGAAGCGTACGACCATACCTTAGCGTAAGTGGCGTAAGCTTTTGCTTGTAGCTAATTTCTAGTATTTTACTGAAAACCTAAGCCAGCGCTTCACGAGGTTAAGCGGGTAGATTAGAGAAATGCCTCTTTTTACTTGCAATTTCGTCTGCCGAAAACAAACAGTTATTTAATAAAAAAAAATTTATGGGTGTGGGTGCACCTTAATAATGTTAGTATTGCTCATTACATCAGATTGCGACAGACTGATTGAGTGCCTATTTGCATTAGCAAATTACACAAAAATTATATCTTTGGAAAATATTTGGAATCTATTGCGTGGCTGGCATTTGATTCGGAGCATCATCACCAAATTTTCATCATCATTAATATATATTCCATTTTATTCCTAAATGAAACAGACAATTAGATCATTGGGTCAGAAAATAGGTACCTACTTAATTATGTCCTGGAAAGAGGTAGTAAAAAAAACAAGCGGGACTTTTTTTGAAAAAAGTCTGTTTACAATCATTTATTATGCTTACACAAATAATATTATTAGAAATAGCTTGGTAGCGATCACCTCATTCCCAGGGCTTATTCATTCATAAATTCCTTAATATTATAAATTATAATATAATACTTAACCGCTATAGACAAGCTTTGATTAATGTTTTTGAACTTAGTGTTGGATAAATAATTATTGTATATTTTCTGGGAGTTTATTGTAAGAGCGTATACGAGTATACAGTGAGCCCGGTCACGGACTAGCCATATTCTAGATGCTTATATTATAACTATTTTAATACACAAATACACTACACACTGAGGTCTAATCCATTTCTTTTCTATGCGACAGTCATTTTTTTTATTTTTCTTGAGATATTCTCTACTGTGCACAAAAAAATCATATCTCTCAAAGTTTTCGTCTTATGGTCCCCACTCACGGTCATTTAAACTGACATCAGTTCAACTGATCAGTTAAAACTAGGACTGTTGACATTTTTAAAATATCGGATTATTATAAATATAACAATATCGGAGTTTTATATATGGGAAACATAAGAGATATATTGATGCTTATTGCTTAAAAATGATTCACACAGTTTATAATTTAGTATATTTATTAAACAAATTAAATTATAAATGTATGAAAATGTTAGGTTATAGTTCTTAGTAATTATTTTACTAAGAACTATAACTTAATTATTAAAGAGCCATGGTAGCTCAGATGGTTAGCGCTCGCTGTAAATTTCACAGTACGCGAGCAATCCGGGTTTGATCCCCGTCGGCACCAATGAAATTGTTAATTGCAATTTTAAGTGCTGATTTACCACGTGATCGGCGATGAAGGAAAACATCGTGAGGAAACCTGCATGTCTGAGAAATAAAATAAAAATTTCCGAAAACGTGAAGTTCGCCAACACGCATTGGGGCAGCGCGGCGGACGTTGCCCTAAAACCCTCTCAGAAGTTAGGAAAAGCCTGCCCAGCTGAGGAGTGCCCAGCATTGTGACGTATATAGGCTGTAACTTTAACTTGAATTATTGTTTAATTTAAATAAGATAATTATGTTTACCAATATTTGTCAGTAAGAGTTTTCAAAAATACTCGTTGTTATATATGTTCAGCTGTTTCAATACTCCAATTATTGGGCACTAAAAGATTGATTGTAGAAGAAATTCGTTCAGATGCTTTGGATGCAGCTGAATAAATCAAGTATTTAACAGTTATTTCTGATAGCACGGAAGTAAATCATAAGACGCCTAAGCGATTAAAATAACTTGAGGCACATATCATACCAACATACCAACATCGAAGCACTTATTTCGTAATTTTCTCTAATAGCTCACATGCGCAGACAACATAAATATGAATACACATAATTTGATAAAAATCCACTTCAAACGATTATTTAAACGATACAACAGGAGCAACCATCCGTCAATGGTCAATCTCCTGCCAATACTCACAGTAAGTAAAGTAGTACTAAGTTTCATAGATTATAGTGATTTTAATATCACAGAGATATATACTTTACAAAATTACATTTCTTTTTAAGATAATAAGCAAATAAATAAATTGGGAAAAAAATAAAAAACAAAATAGTGTAAATAAAGTATAGTAGATTGGGTCCATCAAGAGTTAGGATTTAAATTTACGATGGTATTGTAGATTAAATGAGTTACGTGAAAAAATAAAAAAATAAATTATTTAAAATAATATATCGACTGTCGTATATCTATATTTCAATATCAAACTTATATTTCAATATATGTCCTCAAAAATATTAAAAATAAATATCGATATTTCTAAATAATTAAATAGATTTTTCGATATATCGATATTTTATCAACAGTCCTAGTTCAAACGTGGGGCGTGGCCGTGGGCGTTTGGTTTGCGTGACTCCTATAAAATATCATATATATAGATAAATTAAATAGTATTTAATAATACCTAAATCTTATTTAATAGTCCTGTCTATTAATATATATCTATACAAATAAATAAAATTGAAGTGTCTATAAATGTAATGTAAAAATAACAGTTTTTTACTAAATGCATATGAAAGTACATACGGTACTTATAACAAAAACACAATTTTTAAAATCTTTATCTATCTTTCTTTCTGTCTGTTTGTTCCGGCTAATCTCCGAATCGGCTTAACCGATTTTGACGAGACTTTCAGTCGCAGATAACTGATATTATATGGAGGAACTTAGGCTAATTTTAATTTAGAAAAAGAATTCGGGTTCCATGCAAAACAATTAAAACCCATGAAATCTAATCGTAATAAATTACACGCTGGCGAAGTCGCGGGGAACAGCTACTTAATAGATAGGAAATGATATTTTTAATTTATAGGAGTCACGCCAACTAAACGCCCACGGCTGCGGCTTCATCGATCGAGAAATGAAATCTGTTCCGTATATATGTATATATGTACATAAATAACGTTTCCTATATATTAACACTTCAAAAGATATTTTTATTCATGATAAGGTCAGTATTAAGACATTTTTAAGAAATGGGTCAAATATTATGATAATTTTATTCATTATGGTAAATTTTATTTATTTAATAAATGTGTTATTTATTTTTATCTGTTTATCAAATTACCTATCTGTAGAGCCGGCGACATCCCACTGATCCTACCTTGCACTCCGGTTACAGTGAACCCAAAAAAATCCGTGGGCATGGGCACATTCTGAAGGTCTTATGATGACCAGATAATGCTTATCGGTTTTCAGTAACGGAAATAGTTAGGATGGCCTAGTTTTCTGTGTTTATCTAATTGAGCTCTCGACGTGTTATATACTAAAATAAAGTTGAAGCACCCAAACGTCACGAATTAAAATAAGTTAAACAAAATAATATCAGTAAAGTTTGCTTTATTAAATGTGTAGTATTCGTGTAATAAATCAGTCAAAAATCATTGAATTCTAAATACTGCGTACAAGTAACTTGGTCATTTATAGGAATTGGTGTTAATGTTGCTTGTAGGTTTTTTGAAGTACGCAGATATTTTCGCCTTCTGGTTGTAGTTGGTTATGCTTTTTTCGTTCTGCCTTTTTTATTGCCTGTAAAATATATGGCCGATTTCTAATTTTGTACCTACTTTGGAGTTTTGCTTTTTAATTGCCTGAAAACATTATAAAGTGAGTAATAATACTGTTTGTACTATTTATTATATTTATATTATTTGTGTAGTTACTTCTTGAGTCCTTCCAAATGAGCCCAAACACGATGGTGTTTCGTAGTGGCATAACTGAGATCTTTTACCCCACCTTCTTTGATCACCATCATGAAGGTAATATAATCACATTAAACTAGCTCTTTATAAACCTTTCTAAATAAGTTCAAACACGATCGTTCTACCTAGTGCCGCCACTGAGATCCTATACCCACCTTCGGATTGCACCATCAGAAAGGTGAGATCATAACAGTCACCTAGGTACTTTATGAGCCCATTCAAATGAGTTTATACGAACTTAGGGGGTTGTATTGATGATTATAATGATTATAATTCTGTAAATACATACTCGTCACGGTCGCGAATCATATTTTATTAAACATACAACTTGGCACTGACCTAAAAATTGTAAAAAATTTAAGAAAATTTTAATTTCGCGGGCCACCTTGGAGCTTTCACCTTAAGGCGCAGGTTGAGCAAAATGTCGCGCTAGTCGTTATTTGTACGGTTTTTAGGAGCTATCTACTTTTTATTTAAAAGATATATCAACAAATAAAAAACACATTATATTTCTACATAATCTTGATTCCATAAAAGCTATATCCAATTTTTTTTAAACGAATAAATATTAATATAATCTCCTTACAACGAAACCACATAAATGTGAAATTATTATTGATAACATGGATCTCCTCGTAAAGTAAGTATTATTTTATTTTGCGATTTACACCAATGGATAGACAATTTATTAATAAACATTTCTATAGTAAATTTCTTTTCAAAAGACCAAAATTTGATTTTATTAAGAAATTATTTTAAAATCTGGGCATATTCACTGCTCACGGGCTTGCTGGAGTCAGTGAGCCCTGAGCTCTTCGACGCGAAGCCCGTGTCGTTAGAGCGTCGACCAGCGCCGCATACACTCACGTAATATCAGTCGATAAATAATATTACTTATTAGGTTATTTATAGGTAGTATTATTTGTTTGTTTTGGGTATAATTTTTCGTATTAGTTATACATATATTTGTTGTGTTTTTTACTGCGCGATGAAGCTTTTTGCGTGTATTTTCTTTGAAGTAAATGCAAATAAAAAAATGAAGCACCATTGGCATGTAAGGTTCGAAGCCATAATTAAAATTTCGATAAATATTATAATTTACACTATAAAAGGCTAATTCAATATTATCACCCAACCACAATATCTTATTATGTACAGTACTGCCTCGTTGGTCTAGTGGTTGTAGTAGTGCGACTGCTGATCATTAGGTCCCGGGTTCGAATCCTGGGTCGGGCCCTGTCAGTTATGAGTTTTTCATTTATGTTCTAAGTTATAATTAGTATTACTAAGTTATA